AAACTGTTGACAATATCAAATGTGTTTCGTACAGCAGACTTAATAATGATGGAGAACAATAATAAGCAAATGACTTTCCTTAGCAGACTTTAAAAATATAATTGTATTGCCTTGTAGTGCTACAGATGTCAGGGTTCAGTGATTTGTCTACAGTAATTCAAGCCATGGAGGAAGTTTGGGCGGTTTCCTCTTCCTTGAAATTCACTCAGAGTTCGCTTTGTTCGCAATCCAAGGTCTCATTACAGTGAGTCTCACGTTTGCTCTTATTACTCTCTTCCTTTTGTGTATTTAAGGCTTGTTTTCTCTTCCTTTGAGATGAAGAGCCTCTTATTGCAAAAGGAGTATGTTTCACTGTATCTACAGGTTAAGTAATATTTTCTTCTCTTGTATCCAGGTTCTTCAAGCCCTTCTTAACAGGACACAGTGCCTACTTGATTGGCTGGCTTTGTCATCATGGCCTGTGAAAAGCACAAGAAGAACAACATGAATGAACTTCACTTCAGTTTGAAAACGGCTGGAGCTGCAAACTGGCATTAAGTAACACATCAGCTACTAGCAATCTATCACATAACTCTTCTTAGATAAACAGGGACAAGTATTGGTATGTACACCTAATTAGACAACAGTTTAATTTTACCCCCCAAAAAGATATTGTAATGCATACCTACGAGAACCCCGGAGTATTACAATATTAAGAGCAGTGTGATATCATGTGTTATTATTTCTACTCCTATGTTTCTTCTTTATCTAAAAGCTGAGATTACAATAATTTTGATTAGACAATTTCAAAGGAGCTGGTGTTTTCCTACAACCTGCCTGTCCTTTTAAATGTGACTACATTCCTGTCCAGTGTTAAAGAGAAAGAATAGTATTTATATAGGGCTGTTGTAGTGCAACATCCCAGTGGGTATATAATTATTTTGTGTTGTGGTGTGGAACAGACATTCTAGTTAATGTTGTTTTCTATTGTTACATGTTGCAGGCTTTAAAAAATAATGTATTTGGCTTTCACCGGTCAGCTTCGCCAGAGGGAACATTATGTCTCAGCGTATCGTCCCTTAAATCCTTTAATTAAATCTAAATATAAGTTAAGTCTATAATATAAATTAAATGTACAAAGAGGACGGAAGAGTTTGCTTTCTGTTCTCAAAGAGGACAACAATTAGAGAAATCACTACGATGTGGAGTTGTTAATTATTATAGACCGTTTGCTCATAAATGTTTAGACAAGGCACTGTTTCAGATAAGAGTACAGGCTCTCCTCTTCCAGCAATTGAAGCAGGTTGAATGACCACATAAAAAAATCCGTCTTATCTGTGGAGAATGCAGCAAAGCTACTGTACTGTATATTACTGCCTAATAAAATAAAATAATAAAAGCATAAACTGAAATCATCACTGAAGATAGCTAACTATCAATTCAGATGCAGAAATTGATTATCGCACACATTTCACTTTATCTCACTACAGTATAGCAATAACCCGAAAACAACGAATGTTTCTATTACCGAGGTTTATGTTTACCAGCCGCATATAGAACACATTGCGCAGCCTGAGTTATAGATACTTTATTAATCCCGTGAGGGAAATTGCAGTGCAACAGCAGCCTGGCAAAGTCAACACAGCACAGTGTAACGCAATGATACAATAATACACAATACAATACAGTAAGTACAGTCAGTGAGAAGTGCCGTAAAAAGTTAAAAGAAAATTGTGTATACAGTTATTAAAATGCCTGGAGTCGGAATTGACATACAGTTATGTAGTACTACTAGTGTATTTATAATCCTTGAGGTTTCATGTGCTTTTGGAACTTTTCCATGTCCTACGGTACATGAAATCTAGCCACATAGAGTAGAGGAAAGGTTTAGTAGAAAGGGTTAAATGTCTTTAGCCTCCCTGTCCAGTCTCGTTACATAAACGCCGAAACCAACTGCAGCCCTTTCGCTCTGTCTCCACCTACACGCACTTCTGATTGGACTGGTAGAGCCGTCCGTTTAAATTTCAGTAACTACTAGTTCCTACTTCGTCAGACAATTCCGACTCCAGGCATTTTAATGATAATATTTAAAACGTCGAGGTGTTGTTAGGGTGCCCCTAGGAGTATTGCGTTGTTCAGTGTCATGTTTCAATCTCTGCTGGCGTGGACGAACAATTGTATGCAATTCAAGCACTACAGCGAAACCTGGAACATCAGAAAGGGGCAAGGCAAATCATCGGCGTTTGCGAACCGTGGGAAGAACCTGGGACTGATCATTTGTCTCGCAGTATTTTACTATATAAATGAAATCTACACAGTTAGAATTCAGAAAATAGGAATGGGAAGTAGATTGCTGTTTTACGCTCGAAGAAGAAGTGACGCTTTACTGCATTGGCATGCCTGTGAGTAGCCTACTGTAGCTATTCTACTTCTTCGTTTAAAATGTTCTATAGAGCGACTTTATTTTAAAATCGCGTTTACAGATTAACTGATGACAGAGGGCCAAAATTGTTTTTCGTGTGTTTCCTTCTGTTTTTCCCATTGATTCTGAGTGACCAGTGAATGGTTTTTACTAAGGCCATCTGTACAAAATTGGCCATTATATTAATCAATTTGTGTATGTTTATTAGGCCCAGTCCAATTGGGTAAGGTCATGTTGTATCAGTAAAGCTTGGTTAGTTATCTTGGTCGATAGTGTCTTTCTATACTTAGGCTAACGATTAATTGAAAAACCTGTTGAAGACATGTAATGTTTAATAGCCAACAACTAAAATTACTGATTAAAAATACTTGTACAATTGTGAGGTCAGGCTACTATTGAACAATAATTAGTCAAGATATTAGGTATTGTGTATCAAAGTGAAATGTATTTAGGCTCCGATCCCTTCGACGCGTGCCAGTTTCCTTATCGAAATACTCCCCGGCAGTGATCTCTGGTCGGAACGAGTTAAGAAAATGTCATTAAAACGTGAAACTGTGTATAGAATGCCCTTTAAAGAATAAGCTTTGAAAGCTTCGCCAAACTAATACAAATATATGTAAGCTTACCTCAGCAGGTGATATACTTAACAACACCTCGACTGCAGCAGTTTTTAAGCATTATTCGAAGCGTTACAAATGACAGTCTTTAACATTATTGTGACATAATTCTGTAAGCGGTGCTATTCTTGTGGTATGAAGGTAGCGTAACTTTCTTAATAATCAAACCTAATCACAACCTATTGTTTTGTTGTTTATTGGGCACTATAACCGATACCTAATCAATACTTCCTTTCTGACAGTGCATGCATTAATTAACGAATTTCAATGCTATAAAATGCTGTAGCGAGACTTTCGGTAAATGTGGGGTACAACGAAAATCTAAACGACTGATCAATATAACACTTAAATACGTATAAGAATTAAGTGGAGATGCCAGGGAGAAGTTTTTTTCAAATTGAGACCAGGAGGCAGAGGTTTACACGGAGGTTTGCGGGGGTATGGAACAATACTGTCTAAACTCAAAGATGCAGCTGGATGAAACCCTTGGATCACTTTTATTGTAACGACTAAATTAGCTAAATGGACTGAGTATCGTCCTCATGTTTGTAACCATTCTTATTTTTTCTATGTGACGTCCTTCCCATAAAACCCGCGTTTTATGCGATCCGTTGTGTTTTAATGAAGAGAAGAGTGTTCAACATTGCCTCCTTCCAGCCAGAGTAAAGTGAGAGAAGTGGATGAATGTGCAATCGAAACTCAGGACACTCTTCTAATTCTATTTAAAGAAGATTAATCTATTATTACTGTACTTTTGAGTTCAACGGCATGTTATGTATTTTACAGTCTATGTTATTAAGGGTCAGCATCACCACTGTGTGAATATTTAATGACAAAACTGTATATACCCCTTGCTTTTATTTTATTCTGCTAAAGGATGGGAAAGGAGGTTCTAAACAGGAAAGCAAAAATACAGAATATAAAAAAACCTCACAGCTACAAATCCACAAAGTTATCAGAACGTTTTGTAGCGCATACTCTTCAATTTTAGTGAACACTACTAGCTAACAGGTGGAGGCGCTACAAGTTTTATCGTTTGCAGATGCTTAATTTCAACTTACAAATGCTGTCTTGTCTTGTGGGATTCTTTGATTAGTTCTCTTTTAGACACTGGACAGGCATATGTCCGTTTTCTGATCTCTGAGATGATCTCTGTCATCCCACAGATATCCAATGAAGCTCTAGTCTGCCGAGAGATGCCATAAGATGGGCAAACATGGAATCACTGTAACATTCTTATGTCTCAAGAAGAAAAAAAGCGGCACAAGGACATGCTGTCCTGTTGTAAAGTTGTCATTTCAGGATGAGTCTGGTAAGAAGGACAGGAAGTGATCAAAGTCACATTATGCGGTCAGGTGGAGTTCTAAAACAGCTAGACATGGACTGGACAGTCCTGGTCCTGGAGAGCCGGCGTGTCTGTAGATTTTCCTACCGGCTCAGCAGTTAACAAATGAAATCAGTTCATTATTGGCTTAATGAGACCAGTTTATCAACTCTTCTTAGCTCTTCTGATGATGGTGTTTGAAGAGACTTGGAAAGCCTGCAAACACACCGGCTGTCCTGGGTCAGGGTTACAGATCCCTAGAGGTGACGCTCCTCCAGATCATCACACCTGGGCTTCCCCATCGATCGGTGTGTTGTCCACAGGAATTAATGTATCGTGCCCCACCTGCTGACATCCATTGAGGTCTACACAAACCCCTCCTCTTTTAGTTTTGCATCTGCTAATGTGTTCATATGTTGATATTTAATGTTTGCATCACCTATTACAGTATATGATAAAAATAGCCATAGGTAAGAGAAACCTTGTAGGATCAATTATGTTAAAGGAACAATGAAATGTGTACCACACAGTTCTGGGCCCCAGTGACTAGAGCTGCCTCTCGGCCATGTTTCAATAATAAAACAGCTGGCAGGTGAATCAAGTTGAATAACTTTGTGGATTTGCAGTTTTAAGTCCCAGTGAATCAAGCTTCATTCCAAACTGACAGATTTTTATGGTTATAATTATCAAATCAAATGATCTGAAAACAGTTTTAGCAGCTCACTGCTTTTATAACACTGATTTAGTTTGCAAAACAGTAAGTATTCAGTTGAAAGAATGCCTTTGTTTGCATTTGATAAAAGTGTTAATATCTGCATATAAGATATAATTTTCTCACTGTAGGGTACCAATGTACTGTTCTGTAACACTATAATCTTTTCAGCATTGAGTTGAAGCCTTTACATAAAAATCCTCATAATCCTCATAAAGGTTGACTAATCCTAATCAAAATATTAACTCTAACATTTCTAACCTTTTCTTATTCTGCCAATGAGAAAAGGGTATCCTTTTGCTTCTTATAACACTAACGGTAGTTAATGAAACATGTACCAAGTACTGGATGTCTGCAATGCCATTAATTGAAATGTTCACCTCAGCATCTCTATAACTATATGACTTCAGTTTTTAAGTAGGCTATGTCATGTTATGAACTGCTTGTGTCAAATTGGGGTTTACCATTTGAGACTTATTTAAGTAAATATTGCAAAGGAGTCCCTCTTTCATATGTGTAATATTGTCTGTAATAACTGTAATGCGCTGCTTCCCAGTATTTCTTAGTGCACTATCAACAAACTTCAGTATGCTCATAACTCAGCTGTTCAAACGTAAATTACATCCAAGCTCTGCACGTATATCACTCCTGTTCTAGCCACCCTGCACTGGCTTCCAGTTCCATACAGTAAAAATATGAAGCTGGGAACCATATATAGAAGACATTACTCATTTATGGTTCTTCTTATCTGAGAGATTTGCTGAGCTGTTATGCTCTTTAAGTTCTGTCTTGCTGTGTGTACCTGTGATGTGACACCATACACAGTGTGATTGGATGTTCTGTGGAAATGTGAAAAACTAAAATGTTTAACCCGAGACTGTTCAAGTCTCAATATTTTGGTCTACAAAAATTCACTTAAAAATCAGTTTTTAAAGGCTAGCTTTTCCTAACTTAACAGAAAATGCTGTTCCCATTCCCTTCCTATGGTTCCTACTGTATATTGAATTGCATAAATATTCAGACCCATGAACTCGGTATTCGGTGGAAGCACCTTTGGCATCAAGTACAGACACAATTTTTTTCTTTGCTCAAGTCTTTGATCCTCAAGCACCATCTAGTTGCTTGGGGGTTGCTTATAGACAACAGTTTTCAAGTCTTTCCAAGAGGATTCAAGTCAGCAGATTAAGTTTTCTGCTGTGTCATACAGCTCAGCATAGTGGTGAGACCAGGATATTGTTAACTGATACACATTATGTCAACTATTGACCTCGGTAACACTTTTAAAATTGTTGTAGGCTTTAGGTGGCCCCCCCTCTCCAGAGGAGATGTCAGTATTTTTTGTACCCTTCTCCTGACTGTGCTTTTCAGTGACTTTATCCCCTACTTGTTTTGCCATAGCAATGGCTTGAATACTTCTGTGTATACTTCTATGATATTTTCTTTTTACTTTTGTATTATTTATTTAGTTATTTCTCTGTTTTTTACTTTGAATCTGCACAGTAGGTTGTGTGTATAGAAAATATTAAGTACTGATTCAGAGTGTCAGAACTGGATGATTTACAGCAACAAAATGTAAAAACAGTGGAGAGATCTGAATACCTTGCAAGGCACTGTATATACAATTGATTTGTTACCTCCACTGTAAAACTCCGATATCTCTTCACATGAAAGAGACTATATAAAATAAAAATTTTAAAAAACTTACATTAATTTAATAATATTACACTGCTGTGGTAAATGTTAAATGAAGAGTGTTAATACTTTTCTTTTAGTCACATTTATTTATTTTTCTTTCTTTCATTCCCTGTTAATGTTTTGCAGTTACTTTTGGAAAATAATAGCAGGTTAAGATGTATATACAGCTAGGTAATTGATGCTGTTTCTAAAGAAACCCAGAGGTTTGAAATTCTCATACCCAAGTGCTAGTACTTACTGTATTTAATTGGCTGGCACCTTTATCCAAAACCCCTTACATTTATAGAGATTTTAGTGGTGCCCTTTAGTTGGAACCTTGTTGAGAGTACAACAGCAATGGAATTTGAACCCACAACCTTCCAGTTACTAATTCAGAATCCCTTATCATTGTACCACTGTCATTTTCCTAGGGTGCAGTGCTAGCTGCCACCTCCCTGTATCTCCCATTTTAAGTACATAAAGTACAGGAAGGTAATTTCAATCATCAAGCCACTTAGGATCACCAGGCCAGAGCTTCTGATTGTGGTGAAGTTGGTTGTGGTGATCCCCTGCAGGGAGTCCATCATGGAGATTAATTTCAGTTCAGTTTTCTTTTTGTGCCCTTTGCAAGATTTGGTCATAGAGGGCTTTCACAGGTATTAACACAGACAGAGTTATACAATAAATCAAAAGGACATGGTTTGTCTCCCCTCCTGTCACTACCTGTGTTTAGGGAGGCAGTGTTTAAGTGACGGTACGTATGTGAGCCATGTTTGGAGGGGTTGAGTGCATTCAGTTTAGGTCAGTGTGTGGAACTGGATGTGCAGTGGACTGGGACGTTCCACTCCCACTCCCAGTGTGTCGATCAATCTGGGATCTCTTATCTTCTAGTGTAATGTCTTGGTCCATCAGGGTTTTCACACCAATGGGGCAGGCACTGTGGGCAGCCGGGAGTAGCCCAGGTTTTGGTCGTGGAGGATGGAGCTTATTGGCAGCCATAGGGGCCATAGTGAAGGCTGTGGAAGGAAAGACAGGAAAGAAGAATGACTTCCCAGCAGTGCTGAGCTCGATTTAAAGGGGAACTGTAACACTATTTTCATATTTCAAGGTTAGAAAGTATCAGAATTGATAAGTGCATTTCAAAACCTAATACAATTGACATCACAAAATAGGCTAAATTTCCAGTTATACTCAGCACCATGCTCTGCAATTCAGAACAATGCAACAAAATGCCTGGTGATGTGTGTGTGGCCCCATGACATTGTAAACAAGCAGGCTTGTGAATACTGTACATCTCTCTTAATCCAATAAAAATATGATTTTTCTATTACGTCAATTAATTTTGTTACCAAGATTTAATAACTGGTCTGAGCAAGTGGGACTGCACTGCATTTCCACTTAAAACAGCTGGGTGGAACTGGAGAAACTGTATAAAGTACATACTGTAAAAAAAAAAATTGTGGGGAATGCCAAATTGAACACGGCATGGTTTTAGGTAGGATGTAAAAGAACTGAAGGATCCATAGTCTGAAATGTCTTCATGGTTCAGAGTTCAGAACAAAAGGCTACAGTATGTCAGTCACACTGTGCAGTCTTGTAATGGGAACACAGAGCACTGGAATCAGTGGATCAAAGGTTGTGATCTGGAGATAAAAATAAAAGTTCAGACAAACACAGGAAGGTAAACAATTCTGATCTTTACAAATCAAAAGACGATTTTTAAGGTGAAGGTGGAACTTGGCTGTAAGTAAACGTTCCAAACAACAGGTGATATTGTCATTTCAATTAGAGTCAATCTGGTCAGTATTCTGGTTGTGAATTTAGAACACAGATTTGGGTCACCTCTGTAAGCTGGACAATGGTCAAAATTGGAAGAAACAGAAGCACATTTTCTGTGTAAGGTACAGATGGAACAGATTGTACTTGAGAAATATTCCTAAGATTAAAAAAAAAAAAGAAATATTAGTATTGTTCTTCACATGAGGTTCAAAAGTCAAGCTGTGGTCAAATATCACCCGTGTTTTGCCTGTCTTATTACAACTGAATAAAAACAATGGCATTTGTGTCCACAATTTAATATTTTATTTTATGTTTGGAAAAGCATGCATTTTCAGGGTTAGCAAACCCATTTAGTTCTTTCAAGCCTTTCAAATTTTGAGTTCTGAAATACCAAATTTAAGAGCAGTTCCATATTGTGCTTCATTATACTAAAGTGGGTGTAGTCTTCTAGGATTTAGTCCTATAAGAAGATTAGGTGAAATAGGATCAACAGAAGGAAGACAGATATTATAGTAAGTGAATGATGCAGACTGTTACAGAGCCTCAGAGAACACTATGTTCTAAAATGAAAATTAAGAAAGAGCGATGCAGCATATCCTCTACAGGCACATACAACAGTGGCTTGGAGATCACTACACAATATAGTTGCCAAGCAGACCATGATTGTAATTATAGGTTTCTGAAGATGTCTTGTAATGAGGTTCATTTTGAACATGAATTGGTGGCAGATTACACGTTTATCCATTTAGATTTTTCAATTTTTCTTTTCAACTTGATGTGGCCCACCTAATTGTTTTGAATAACACAATTTTCTTCTGTATCAGTGGAGAGGTTCATTCCCTTCCCAAATTAGAAATTAAAAAACATTTTGGTTCTTAAGCCTTCTTCAGCTGTGGGGGAGGGAGAGGAAGGTAGCAGGGGTGCAAAGCACAGGAGGACAAAGAACGGAGCAGGTGAGAAAGTGTCTGAATGTTTAGATCTGAGAGAGAGGTGCAGAGAAAATGGAGCAGGGTCTCCAGCGCCGGCCGAGGGTCAGGGCTTCGCAGTGGCGACGTCCAGGCGTATTGATGAGCCGAGTTCAGTGAAGCTGAAGCTGAAGGGCAAGGATGGGTAATGGCAGACACTGCAGGGCTGGGAGGAGGAGGATCTACTGGCCTGCTCTCCCTCTAACCTGTCTTTCCTCCTTGGGGGAGAGGACGAGCTGGTCCCGCAAGCCTGGCACAGTGAGGGGCTTCGGGGCCGGCGCCCTGACCGTTGCCTTCCAGACCCCGCTGGATCTGCAGGGGCTGGGCTTATCTAAGAGTGTAATTCATCGGTGGAAGTGTTTCATTGAGGCAGGGCGGTGGCTCTGTGGCTAAAGATCTGCGCCTGTGGCTGGAAGGTTGCTGGTTCATATCTTGTGGCAGGCAGAGGAATCCTACTCTATTGGGCTCCTGAGCAAGGACCTTAACCCCAACTGCTCCGGGGGTGCTGTGTGAATGGTTGACCCTGCACTCTGACCTCAAGCTTCTCTCCCTGTCTGTGTGCCTCATGGAGAGCAAGCAGGGGTATGCGAAAAGACAAATTTCTAATAGAAGAAATTGTATATGGTCATTATAGTATTATTGGCTTTGGAGAGGTCTTTTATCCTCACTTATTTTACACATCTGACATGAAATGGTCAACCAGTGTTCCTGTTTTACCCGTGTAAACAGCAGGGTACTTCCTGCAAGAGATGCAGTAAATGAGGCTGTCGGACACATTAAGCTCTCTGGTGATTGTGAATGGCCTACAAATTTGAGCTTCTATATCAGTTTATTCATCCAGCTTTTTACACTTCTTTAATACAGGGTCCGTGCAATGTTGTCTTTTTTGGATTTTAGTTAGTAGTATCTTTATCTTCAGCCAGCTCCAACAGTGATGGTATTTTTCTGGTGGATTCTTAACGGATGCTAGGTGCAGTCAACTTAACAAGCAACATGTTAGGATAACAAGTGACAAAATGTCTTTCTTGTGTGCAAAGGTGTTGAGCCCAGAGCTCGGCATTAAGAGGAATCAAGAGTCGGCCTCCAAACGATGGATGAAATAGGTGTCAAAGGCTGACCAAAATTCAGGTACAGGACTGTTGCAGTATCTTTGTTTCTGCAGCCATGTATTCTAGCATTCCACAGTATGCGATGTGTGCTGTGAGCTCTGGGATTGGAGTACAAAGTACTTCTTGTTGTGTGGAGAGGGCATTTGTATGGAACTGGAATACAAAATGTCAGATACTGCCTTTGTGCTCTTGGAGCAAGGTGAGTTTCAGAGTGACAAGGCTGTCTCTGCCTGTGCTTCTCAGCAGAGTCTACTCTTTCTTTTGTTTGTGCTAAAAGTTTAAGCATCTAGATCTGATTACTTCTTTTAATTGAAGCCGTTTTTGCATGTTGATGATGTTAAAAAACTGCTCAAGAGCTTTGGTCAGGCGAAAGTGTGAGCTTGTCCATGAAATAAGAGATTAGGCTCAGATAGAAGTCCAGTTTTACTGTCATTTGTCTCTGGAATTGCAGTGATAAAGTGTCATCATTAAGCAAATTTGGCTTAATGATGTATTTGCTAACAAGGAGATATAACTTGCACTAGTAAATAAACTGCAGTTTATTTATTAAACAAATTATAATTTTTAAATTGTCATTAGATACTTTTGTATGCTTCCTTTTACATACAGCATTTTCGTGTACATATTAAGCAATTTAAATAGGTAATATCGGCATAATTTATGTGAGAAATACAATTTTGAACAGGACCTTCATTGTTTGTTCTCAACTGGCTTATCTTGTTTAATAAAGAATAAAATAATATAGTTGGTTCTTGTAAAGAATGAGTCTGAAAGAAGATGTAAACATAATATATACATATCCCAAAATAAGTCATCAAATGCACTTATTATAACAATATTTCAAAATAATGAAACCTGGCTGTAATGTCAAACAGTAATCTTGTCTAGTAGTGTTCAGTGACATCTGCTCAAAGGTCAGCAGGAAGTGATTAAAGGGTGATATTAAATCTGTCTGGAATTACATTTCACTTTTGCTAGCAAAGGTTTTGCCTGTTGAAAACTTTTCTTGACTGATATAAACGAGTCAACTACTGTCTGGTGTATGCACTGTATACAGTGTTTACATTGCACAGGTTATGCTAAGTTAGTAGACATACACATTTCAGGTTTTTAATGAATGTAGTTTTTATACACCATACGCCTACACTAAAAGAATGAGAACTGCAGAACTGCAAAAATAACTAGTAAAATA